TACGTATTGGAGCACTGTAATCTGTTATCGATGAATTGTATATTATGTTATAAACAATAATGTGTTAGTGTTATTGAAAACACTGAACATCGGTTGTAAATTATAATGAATTAAAATTAAATATTATTACGCTCAGTCTAAATGTTCATAATATACTAACTAAATACTAATGTATGTAAAATGTTTACGTATATTAATTAATGGCCCCACTATGAATATAGAATAATGTAACACGACATTTTGATCCAAGATTATGTAGGAAAATTTTTTATTCATAATAGCTAATAGGGGTTAACGTTTGCATATTCATAAAGTTGAATGTTCGACTGTATTTCCTATTCAAATATCAGCTAGTTTAAAATGTTTATACAATATTGATAACTGACAAGTAATATTCAATGTGTTCTCGAATATTTTATACATTCAAAATACACATTTTCTTCTGAGATACCCTAACTGTGTGTCTGTGCCTGTAATGTTTTTACAATATGTAGTTGAGCAGCAAACATATAATAGCTGGTATTACAAGTTACAAGTTACAACAATTTACAATGTTTGTTGACTATACCTATGGCCTATATATTATTACCATCATGATTTACGAAAATATTTCGTTTTGGTTTTATTTTATACTTAGATTATAATTTATGTAGAATAATTAATAATGCACTGTAATTACTAATTAGGTACTAATCAAATAATACATTATATACCATAATTATGTGCATATATTTGTCTTTGTACTTTATTGATTTTTAAAAATTTCAATGACACTATTTTTGATTTGATTTTTTAACGACATGTACAATTTTAGGTTTCAACATTTTTATTTTTATCCTACCTAATAAATTGATCTAAAATCTTTCTAATGAGTATTCTAATCATAATTGTTTGAAAAATATAAAAAAATGATCCCCTTTTTTATAAAAGTTTTTGCTATAATATAATTTTTTATAATTTGTATGAAACTCAAAATAAATAACACAACACTATAAATTCAATAGTCTATACTAACTAGGGCCCCAGGGTTGAAATATGTATAAATATGTTTAAAAATAATTTTAAATTGTGAACAATTCTTTGTTTCAAACATTTTAAATTGAAAAATTTAATTTCTTAAAATCAAAATGATAAATATTTGTTTATCAAAATTAAATTTACCGTTAGTAAATTATTTTATTTTGTTTAAAGCACTTTCCAACCTTGGGACTACAGAGGTAATCTAATTAAACCTAGAAACCCTTACTGTATTCTGTAGCTACCATTTAATCCTTACCAGACTATGTTTACATTAGTAACTCATAAATCCTAATTCGTAATTAATGACTTTATTAAAACTTTTTTTCTAAATTAAATAAACATAATATTATAATTAAGTATTTTAAGTTATAAAAATGCGCCTTATATTAATTTAGATACGCAAATTATATGCAACCAAATTTATATAGTGTACAACATACAAGTATACAACATTCATGATAAGTCATAATTAGGTACTTAATAACTTAAAATTAATAAGTAGGTATACATCGTTTTTGTAAAACCTCTTAACATTTAGGGAGGGGGGGAGACGGTCTTCCACATAATTATAATAATATGATATTTGTATTCGGTACACCTTGTTTAATGGAGGTATTTTATCTATTTTTCACTCAAAATTTACGTTTGATTTTTGATTTTCACTGAGCGGTTTTTGAAAACAAGTAAAAATGAACTAGCACAAAACCTGGTACACATCTCTAGTGTAGATTTTTGTGTAGGTAACACCATTTATCACCATTGAGCCCGGTGGTGCTAATAATGTAAAAACCCGTGTGACCAATTATTTTATGGTAGAATTTCGTGACCAAGGTTTGTGGTACCTATATCTGCACTAAGATTTAAAGTTAGGATAGTTGAATATTTTACCTTGATATACTGATCGCAGATTATACTATGTATTACGCAGTGTTGACGATTTAGTGCGACATTCATATCATCGTTGATGTATGTGTAGTCTGGGTCGCGAAAGCTATTAAAATGGGTTGTGCTTGTGATAGGTCTCATTTTGTAAAAATAAAAAATTAAGTATCATAACATTTTGAATTATGAATTCAAATAAGTTACGAATGGATTGAACAACCATTTACAGTAAATATAATGACAGGTTAAATGTCTACAGACGTAGAAAATCGAATTAATCGAACTTAATTGTGATCACAAACTTCTTGAGCAAATGTTTATTGAAACTTCTTTGTAAATGTTTTATGCACACTTATGCGCGGGAAATTATCACACAAAACTAGCAGCTATAACGCCATTTTTTCTTCCATGGTTGACAAAGTCGACACGGATCGCGGACAATTTTTTTACGAAAACAGTGATCACGATTCAAAAAGGTTGAAGATCATTGCAGAATGCAGATGTAGGCTGTAGATCTTGGGTACCAATGTTTGGAACGTTCCCTATAGAAATGAATTCGTTCACGTTCACGTCCAGTCCTTAAAAAACGAACTAGTTTACGTTCAAGTTCGAGTTTTTTTTCTAAGAAACGTTCAAGTTCACTGAAAAAATTAATGTGTTCACTGGGTCGTTCAATTAATTTTTTATAATAGGAATTAGATTATATGATAATATATCAATATATTTTAAACATATCAAATACCTATATAAACTAATATATACTTATAAAATGGTAAATTGAGTGTCTTAAAAATCGTTCCAATTCATTAAAATATAAACGTCGTTTACGTCCAATTTGCAAAATACGAGTGAAGTTCGCGTGTCGTTCACTAAAATATGAACTTGCATTCATGAACGACGTTCTTTCCAAATTCTGCTTGGGCGCTAGGTATATACATAATTTAGTGTAGATGTATCAATATATGACGTGTAATATAATATTATGTAAGCTAAAAAAATGTATATTCAATGATATAAAAATTTTTATCAACCAGTAGGTACCTCAGAGAAAACTTTAATTCGAAAACATAATTAATTTAAGTAAAATGGCAAATCGAAAAAAAATTATGTAGAAAATTGGATTTTTCTATGCGTTGTTCGAAGGGGTGGTTCTAGGACTCTAATTTCGTACTAATATTCATTAATTTATGAGTAAGCCATATAGCCAATAGGCCAGCCTAAACTCCTTAACCAGTTAACCACAGTTCATTTTGCTTTGTTCAGTTCAAAATATGAATAACAAACACAATATAGTTTTTCTATACCTATTCTTTGAATGTGCTTTATGTTTAAAATATTAGGCATTTAATTTTACATTATTTAATTTAGTATATTATATTAAATTAGTGTTTCATAATTTAAGAAAAATTAAAAAAAAATTAGGTACCTATTTAAGTAATTAGTGACAACGTACATACCTATAATTGAAAAGTTTAAACAATATAATTGTAAAAATTTTTTACCATATTTCTTCTAATTTCAATAGTAATATACCTACCTAATGTCCTAATATGCGATAAAAAACTACCATTTAAATAAATAAAACTATTATTCTATTGAAAAAAGTCGACTTTTATTGAAAATGGTCCAGCAGTTTTTAAGTCTTATCACTTCGGATAAACTAACGTCAATTTTTAGTTCTATAGCCCGACAAATTGGCATCGGCGTACATCGCTTTATGTACTAATTCGTCCGAGGTGGACAATATTCACATGCAGTGGCAGCATGACCTTTTAATCTTTGAAGCAAATTGTACATTTTAAATTTTTTTACCACCAACCATCCCCTTTATTACATCAAAATGATAATTTACTATGTTGGAGCTATGAAGCTATATGAAGCAATTGCTTCAAATAGTATTATATCTCGCCGCCACTGTTCACATGTGAAGGATTTGGATATTATAGCACTTGGTTTAAGTTATTTAAGTTCTGTCATATCCCTAAGAACAACTCTAATTTTTGTTTTAAGATATAATTTCTTTATTTGAGGCCATAAACGCGATGAGCATTACCCCATTTGTCAGAATAACCAATGGCAACCCTTTAGAAACAAACAAAATTTTGATTTTCATCCTCCCTTAGTGTTACACGGTGATACGAAGTTATGTTAGGTCATAGTGTCCACAAAAATGTCAAGTAAATCTCTTTAGCTTTTAGTTTACCTTACCTAGTTCACTGGTTAGGTAGTACTGATCGGTGTACTTAGCTGGGTGAAATAATTAAACATAGGTGTAAAACCGCAGTCTGAAAATTGGATTTAACACTAGATATATTTTAAGGTAGTTCAAACTACTATCTATTTTTTTTTGAAATTCCCGTCCAAATCAATCGAGTAGTTTTTGAATATAAAAGCTACCTATACAGTTATGTATAATATGTAAACAAAAAACTTTTTTTTTAAAGGTTTAAGTATTTTTTCTACAATAAAAAATGTAGACAGATACAAAAAAACACACACCATTATAAAAAACCAAAATTATACATTCGTCACTTTGCGCCTAAAAAAAATGAACAAATATTTTTTATTAGTTTCAAATACTACTGCTTCAGTATGTGTGGTCTTTTAATGTGTAAACTCTTACTCTAGTTTTACTTATGTTACTATTCGAATTTTGAATTGGTGTGCATAACTCGTTTGTCAGAAGAGACTGAAAATTCCAAAACTTATTGATACAGGATTGTTGATCCGACTTGTGATAATTATACATCTGGAAACTATTAATGGTGAATAACTTGACTTAATTAGGAATAAAAACATAATAATGAATACCACTGGATAAGTTACAAATCTAATTATATTATAAATTTCATATAATTGCACAAAAACTTAAATATCAATTATGACTAATAAAATATTTATATTATATTTTATATTTTGTAAATCACCAATATGAATTTAAATAAATCCACACTAAATGGTGGTTACGCTTAAAAAAACAATTTTACCAGAGCCTATTTATTTATGTAATTTAATATGAATAACTTTTGCTCTGGTTTATTTAATAAATAATAAAATACAAATTTATATAGGTATATCGATTAAAAATGTGTACATAATTATAATAAATATTTGTAATGTCTTTGTCGTTGACACACAGCATAAAAGAGGTTCACGATAGTATGATGCTTTTATGAATATTTTGTACAAGAGTACAATTATAGTGCAGTTCATTGAATTACAATTTTATAGATTTGTAAACCAATCAATTATCATAAAAGAGTAATCGTAAATTTGTTTATTTTAAATAGAGCGATAGATATTTTAGACATTGAAGATGCATGGTTTACTTTGATACGTTTATTTACATGCCGAGCTCCATTTATTGGACGGTTCCGTGAATATATAGGTAAAGCAGAGCGTTATAAATACGCAAAAAATGTAAACGTACCGTCTCATAATTTACAAATTACAATTAAAAATACATTTTGCCAATGAAAATGTATTTTAATTTAACTTGTATTAAATTTAAAACGTTTGAATAACAAAACGATTGTGAACAACCAACAAGCAGTAACTACTGCCATAAATTAGGTGAAAGCGTTTGGCCAGTTTGTGATTGTTTCGCAAGGTCTGTAAAGCCATTGGTAAGGTCTGTAAAGCCGTTGGAGAGGTCTGTAAAGCCGTTAGAGAGGTCAGTAAATCCATTAGAAAGGTCTGTAAAGCCGTTGACAGTTGATGGAGCTGTAGTTGGATGCCCCAAATTCAGCATGGTCATTTGTTGAGGCAACTACAAAAATAGATTTTATGTCAAAAATTATTTATTTATTATGATATATGTATTATCTTACAGTAAATTTACTCACATGAACTAAATCCTTTTGAGAATCAAATGCTGGAAACTGATTATTCTTTACTACAGGGCTCTCCTAAAAGTGTATTTACAAATAAAATTGTTTGGGTATTAACTACAAGTTAAAAAGCATGATTCTAGTATAGTAAGTAATTAGTATCCAATATTTTAAATAAATAGTAACAGTTCTACTGCCTAAAAGAATTATTTGTTTGTCTAAACAATTTATTGTAACTTCATTAATGATTAAAACAATGTATTGGATCTTAGGTTCACGAGAAGGTAGGTATATGAGGTTTATGGTACAAGTTCAAGTGATAAAAAAAAGCAATAGTTATTACAATCTGCTGAGAAAACAGCAATTTATACAATTGCAAACATTTATTACCAGAATACCATTTATTGATATAAGTAAACAACTATAAATTGTAAGTTGGTATTAAGTATTAAGTATTCAAGGAGTCAACAACACTAAAGAAGTTTTCTTCAAATTATTATTTAATACTAAATTATTGTAATTAGAACTATTGAAAATGATTTGGTCAAACATCCATGTAAAAATACATATTAGGGCATTTAGAATAGCAGAGTGACATCATTGGGCCGGACTAGATATAATTACCTATCTTGTACATGTAAAAGTTACTTTACACAATAATTGACCTATCTAAAAATTTTCTTTTTGATGTTTGATTTACGTATACATGTGTGACTTTCTGTGCTAAAAATGATAGAGGTATTAGAATTGCAATATAACATTTGGTTTATTTATAATATTAAAAATACTCAAAAAGATAATGACCGGTTACGCCATGTTGTCTCAAGATAAGTGATTGCTGCTGACACAAAGCATGTGTAATGCGAAAAATCTTTTTTTTAATCTATTTTTGTATGACTCAAATCTCATATATTGTGTTAATACATTATCTATGTAACATTTTTGTCATATTTTATCCTATTTTAAATCTATTTCTGTATATTAAGGTCATCTTTATTTTCTGTACTCTACTTTTGTTATCTTAGCAATATTATATGTAAGTACTTTCTGCCTTCAATGCAAGCATTGCTTATAGAGGTTAGATACTCATTTCCATTAAAATATTATGAACTTAAAATGTTTTTGTAACTTGGATTTAATAATAATAATAACAATAAAAAAATGCTGGTTCCACCAAACTTAAATTTTAAATCAAGTATCGATTACAGGTGTAGAATAATATTTTTAAGTACCATTTTCAATTTAAATAAGTGCTTATAATCATTTTACGATTGAACCTATCTGCTTATGACACATGATGTTAAATAACCAATGTATTATGATTTATAAGGCGTGCAATTTAATTAGAATTGTTATGTGATGATTTCGTAGTATTATTTGCATAATTGATTGTTAACTGTGTATCAAGTATTTTTATGAAACAAAACAATTTACTTAATAGGCATGAAATAATATACTACAGCTGATTACATTGTACTTAAAGATACAAAATAAATACATTTATTTTGATTGTACAATTCAACTATAAATGTTTATTATTTTTAATAGGGTGTCAATATAAATTACATTGTATTTATTTATTTTTAATAAATTATTATACACACAAATACAATAGTGAAACTGCACATTGAATTTTTCATTTAAAACAATCTTAAAGTTAAGAAAATGAATCAATTATAGGTTAGGTTAGATACACATTATTAAGAAACAATATATTTAAAATATTTAAATGTTTAAGATACTGATGGATGTTTCATTTTAAGAGGATGCCAAATCGCATATGTTGCCCCCATCAAATGTACAACATAGCAAATTTGTGTTCAGCAGATTCAATTTCATATAGTAACCTTAATAGTGCAGTGAATTGGCCTATTAACAAACTTAAAGGTAAGTTCATTATCTGTGTTTACTTGAGGGTTTTATGATATTTTAATTATTAATCAAGTTTAAGATTTTTAAATCTTAATACTGTACCTTACATTGCATACTTGATTAATTTTGCTTAAAAATAAAAATGTTGTAAAAAAAACCCTAAGAGAAAACATATAATGTTCTTACCTTTAAGTTTGATAATACATACACCAATTCACAGTATTATTTAAGGTTACTGCACAAAATTGAAACCACTGAATACAAATGTGCTATGTTACTTTTAAGACAAAAACTATACACACAGGTATGGCGTTCACTTAACAATCATAATAATTATTGTATTTTTGTATCAAATAATATGCTATAAAGCATGTAAAGTAAAAACTAACAGTGACACAATATTACTCCCAACACCATTTAAATAAATTTATTTAATGAAATAACTTATATTTTTTACTTTAAACTTTAAGAGGACGCTACACTGACATTTGTTGCCTCCGTTTTACAAGTGAGTAACATAACGAATTTTAAGCTCAGCAGAAAACGTTTAGCTCTATAAGTTTAAAATTAGTGAATTGACCTCTTAGAAAATTTAAATGTAAGATCCAGGGCATCTTATAGGTTAGGCTTTTTATTATATTTTAATTTTAAAACGAGTTAAAAGTATTTTAAAATTGTTTGTTTATCTTAATATAAAATACAATCAAACACCTGAGAGATGCCTTAGATAATAATCATACCTTTACATTGTATAAGAAGTTTTTTTTTTTTTTATTATAGCTTCAAGTTTACAACTAATATAGCTCGTATAAGAAGTTGATTCACATTAATTTTTAACCTAAAGGAGATAAGCGTAAAATGCTGAGTGTAAAATTTGCTGTTAGCACTATAAGATGGAAAGAACAAATAGCAGTTATTCAATAAACTAAATAAACCAAAACAAGTACATTACTTACATGATTGTTAAATTGAGTTGGTGCATTTTTTGCAGCCATACTGTAAAATGGATTTGAAGCAAAACTTGAATTTGTTGATGACTGGAGATTGCTAAAATCATTAGAGTTATTGGATAGCAAATTGATAGAATTCCCCTAAATTAAAAAAATTAAAAGTTTGAATGTTAGCCATAATTAAAATACAGTAATTAATTATTCATAAATAATCATACAAGATTATTGATGGATTGCATATTTTGAAATCCATTGTTATTGAAAGCATTGAAAAATGGTTGTTGTGGCTGAGGAGGAACGAAACCGTTATTTTGACCTAAGACACAAGAAAACATTTATTTTTTTAATATCATCAAAAAAACATTGTTAGTAAAAGTTATTTACTTGTGTACTGGCTAGCGGCTGTGTTATTTGGGGATGATGTTTTTCCATATAATGCCAGAATAGAATCGGTAGTGAGTTTATTTTTTGTAGCCGTTGGTTGATTGAAAAAGTTTTCCTCTTCAGTAGAACGGCCAACCATTGGATCAATAGCTTGTTGAATTTGGGGAGAAGCGGTTGTGGTAGAAGAAACAGATGCACTTAAAAAACTACTGAACGGATCTGTTGAATCTGAACTGGAAGATGTGAAGGACGTATCTATCAATGTAGGGTTTGAATCTTTTGTGGGAGTATCTGTAAAATAATAATACATTAATAGTTAAAAAGTTGTGAATTATTTCGAAATAGATTGAATTATATACCCAAACCGAGAAGATCAGTGGAATGATTTGAATCAGTTGAAATTGGTTTCTTGTTTGATGATAATTTTGGGCTTAAAGAAATAGGTTTAGGTAATGGATTTGGCACAATTGAAGGCACACTGCGCATGATTGATCCAGGTTTTGGTTCTCGTTTTTTCTTCTTCTGTTTTTCAGCTTCTTCTTCTAAATCTTTATCCCAATTTACCTAAACATATAAAATAAAATTTTAAGTAAAAAACTTAATTTCAATAGGTACTATTAACTACTTTTAATTAATTTAAAGGTAGGTATATATATTTTTTTACATTTAGTATTGTATTTTTTAATGTTTACATACCAATTAAAAATTACTATGATGGTAAATACATTATTTTAATCATTAGATGATAATAATCTCTTAAACGTCAGTTACAATTATTATTAACATGTTTAAGGCCAGTGTTACATATATGTGACATGGTGAATATTAATTTCATATGGGATTTATTTTAACAAATATTAAATTTGTAGACTAACAATCTTTACAGCTGGTTCAAATATTGGCGACCAGATACCTAGTTATTACTTGTATTTTTTAAATCAAATTTATATAAAAATACATCTTAAACGCAACGGTTCTTTCAAAGAGGACTCAGATTTTCTCTCAGCCGTGAATATATTAAAATAATTTTTTGAACATGAAAGAAACTGTTTAAAATACAATATTTTAGTTACAGATGTGATCTATAACAATTATATAATATATTATAGCATTAATTATTGAACTGATTCTTAGCCACGTTTTTTAATTTTAAACTAGGTACCTGAAACATTATTACTTTAAAAACACAACATTTCAATATTGTAATGTTAAATGTTTACAGAAAATTATCATATGGTCAGATATAACATTGATCTGATAAGCATATTAAGGATTAATTGAATTATAAGAAAATAACTAAAATTAGATAAGTTTAATAATAAACTACTTGCTCACTATACTTCAAAAGTTTCATGTTGCTAATAATAATAATTATTATAATATTAATGGTATGGATGAAATGTTTACTTTAGGTAATGGAGGCTGCACCCATTCCTTGGCAATGTACTTTTTGTGTTCGTACTTTGAACGAATGAATGCCTCTAATGCAGAATCAGTTTGTGGGCGTCTAAAATTATCCGGTAGGTTTGCTTCATAAACAGCTCTAGCTCGACTATTTCCCATTTGTTGCAAATTCTGTGATAATAGAATTTACTGTTTAATAAAAAATGATAAAATGTATTCACCAAAGAAAAATAATGTGTACACACCACCACTTGTTCAGGAGTCCAAGAATCCAAATTCACAGACCTTACTTTGCTTATGTGTACCCCTAGATTACGATGAATACCGGCACATCTTATGCACAGGAATATTCCCAAATTCCACGAAGCCCATCTTGGTCCTAAGTTTGTAAATAGTAATATTAAAATATTAAGTTATAGAATGTGTAACATTTTATGCTTAATTAGTGTTTACCTTTTGAATCACAGTCCACACAGTACTTGTTATCGTCATCTTTCAACATTTGGTTCAGCAATGACAGACATCTATCCTGTATTTGTTTCTGCTTGTCCTTTTCAGCTTTTGAAGACATCTTTATACTACGCGATCGTACAAAACAATTATTTAAAAAATAGATATTACTTTGTAGTATGTGTTAATAATTTGGCAGTTTTTGACTTCATCACTTTAATTGCCAAATATTTGGCAAATTATTACTAACCACTAACCAGTCAGTGAACAAACTCAACGAAGCAAGTTTCGACGTTTCGTACTTTTATCATATTATTTAGTTCCTGCTTCACCCTCCGCCCATCGGCCGTCACCAATCACCATGCCATTGAACTGTGCAGTGTAGCCAGCATAATACGCGAAAAAAAGTCTGTCGTCTTTGTTCTATATTATGTTTTCACCACTGTTTGAATGCTATCTTCGAGTTATACTGTTATCAAGAACCTTAAATTGGTTTTCGAAATTTCTTGCCGACTTTATAACGGGTAAATAAATTTGTTTAATGTATGAATAGTTAATAGTTATTACTTATTAATTAAATATTTCTAATTTACAGGCTTACAGCTGATAGTTCTTAATAGTTAACACTTATTAATTTGTTATAAATTATAGTGCAATTATTTATCTATTGGATATTTTTTGATAAATAATATCCTAAAAATATGTACCTAGATTTTTCTACTTAAACTTAAAAAGTTCATCACTTGTATAGTTTTAGTATTTTTATTGTAATGTAGTGTATTCATTTAATCTAGTTGTCTATTTCAGCTCTCTTTACTTATCATTTCAATCAAATATGGGTACTTATCTCACATTTCTATTTTTTGGTACGTATTTTTTGAATTTTGCATTCACCCAAGATCCTTCTGGTTACATAGCCTACTGTCCGTGTATGGGCCGTTTTGGAAACCAAGCCGACCACTTTTTGGGAGCCATTGGTTTTGCCAAAGCTTTAAATCGCACGCTCTTATTACCTCATTGGATTGAATACCGCTATGGCCAGCAGAAATCTGTTCAAATTCCATTTGATACATACTTCAAGGTAGATCCACTTTTAGAGTATCACAGAGTCGAGTTAATGAACGACTTTATGACCAAATATTCGAATGATTTATGGCCGCCAGCAAGTCGAACATCATTTTGTTACATGCAAAGAGGTGAATCGGAAGGATGTAATGCCAAAGCAGGAAACCCTTTTGAATCATTTTGGGATACATATGGCATTGATTTTTCATCTTCTGAATTCTATGCCCCACTGAACTATGATGTTTATCATCACGACATGGTAACAAAATGGCACGAGAAGTATCCACCATCTGAATGGCCGGTATTAGCATTTGTTGGTGCTCCAGCAAGTTTTCCAATTCAAAAAGAAAATGTAGAGATTCATAAGTACTTAAAATGGAATGACGAAATAAATAGCTTAGCCAACTCTTTTATAAATAATAGAATTAAACCTGGAAAATTTATTGGTATTCACTTGCGCAATGGTATTGATTGGGTCAGGGCTTGTGAACATATCACCAAGAACTCTTTGTTGTTCTCAGCTCCCCAGTGCTTAGGCTACAGAAATGAATATGGAAAAGCGTCAGAAGAATTATGCTATCCAACTTTTGAAACAGTTGTGAAACAACTCAAAAGAATCATTCGAAAATATGGCAAAGACATAAGTACTGTTTTTGTAGCATCTGATAATAATCATCTAATCCCTGAACTTTCACATGCATTATCAAGTTTTAATTTGAATGCTGTAAAATACGATAGAGACAGTCCGCACATAGATCTTGCAATATTAGGAAAGGCAGATTATTTTATTGGCAACTGTATATCTTCATTCAGTGCTTTTGTTAAACGTGAGAGAGATTCAAATGGTCTACCTAGTGAATTTTGGGCATTTCCTGTTTATCAAAAAAATAACCAAAAGGATGAATTGTGAGTAAAAATGATTTGTTTACTTATTCTTTTTAATACATTTAAAAAAAATATACCTATGTATTCATTTTATGTACCTATATCTAGTACCTATCTTAATATTATATTTTGATGTTTTTTACTTTTGTATTTTATGAGATAACAACGGTTTATAATGCTTAAACTATGTATTTTAAATAGTAATAATGTAGAATATGTTATATTGTATAGTTAAAATTAATAACTCGATTTTTATGTTACAACTTACAAGATAGATACAGGTATACTAGCCATAAGCTAAAGCAAATACTATTCTCTTAATAATGCAACCTTTCATATTTGTCTTGTCTATGGAATTTACTAATTTCTAAATAGCTTAGGTACCAAATTTGTTGAATTATGTAAAAATATAATTGTACTATTTTTATACTTTGTGTAGGTATAACGGTACAATCAGATATTTTTTTTAAACAATTACAGTTAGGCATATATTTTTGTATAAAAATGAATTTCATTAGGTAGGTACTTTATTTTCTAATATATTTTTATTCAATGTATTTTATGTATTTTTGAACCCAAATTATATTAAATATTTGTATTCTGTATACCTAGTACTTATTATTTATTATCTTTACACATCTACCTATCAATTTATTTTATTTTCTTTACCTTGCAAGTTCCAACTGTTCCAAGTATTATTATTTACACTAACAAGGGAGATTGGAAAATTGTTTTCAGTTCAAGGAGACTGAATTGAATATAACTATTATTATATTTTTACCAATAGATCCTTCTTCCCCCACATTATGAAACTATTCAAATTATTATCAACTAAACAGTATGCATAAACAAATTTAAACATGAATAAGTGTATTATAAACAGGGTAAGTATCAATCAGATATGTGCACTGACCCTTAATTATAATAAACCTATTTGTAAGAAAATGTTCAAATACATTGGGATTTATCAACTAATGTTCTTTAATTTGGTATTTAAATAAAACAATTTGTATTATTAAAAATTAATATTTGTTCAATTTATTGATACAAAATTTGTATACTTATCTATTAAGTTAATATTGCCCCAATTATTTGTTATAATTTAATACAATATCTATACCAAATATAATAAGATAATTAAGAAATATAATATAAAATTAATTATAAATCAGCTACAAATTACAGATTTTATACTTAACTTTAAAAATCATTTATTTATACCTATTGTAACACAGCCATGTGCTGCATTTAAATTTAAAATATGTAAAAAAAAAATGTCATCCCTAGTTCAGTCTTACATTATAATTTTTTTGATAAATTTAAAATCTCAATTTATTTATACAACAAATCAAAATGAATTTTTAATTTTTCGTGTCAATGTGGACGTATTACGCTTAATTTGTCCAATAATGGACTGTAGTCATTTTTTTGGTGTCGAATTTGCTGCTGCAATTTTTATTTTTTCTCTCTTAAGAAATTCTTTTGCCAATTTGTCTGTTGGTCTAGTATCAAGAGCTTGAAGAATTTTTGAATCTATAATGTTTAATAAAATAAATACAAAACTATAACGATATTAATGACCTAATAAATTATTTTATTAATAATTACCTAAAGATTTAGGAGACGTCAGTTTTAATTTTATTTGAGGTACACTACCTAAGTCATTTTCCAACTGTGTAAATGGAATATCTTTAAAATGCACAAATGTTTCAGATACAAACTCATTTGTCATTCCCATGAAATCTTGATCTTTCACTATAAACATTACTAAACCATTTTCTTCAGCGCGTTGTTCAGGAGTTAGAGGACTGTAAGCAAAATAATAACAAAATAGTCAAATATATTAAAAATTCTGTTGTAAGCTATTATTATACTAACATTTTAAAACTTTCATCAAATAAAGGGTACAAAGTTTTTTTCTGCACTGCTGTTGTAGGTTTAATGGCATGAATAAATTTTTCTTTGGGTAACAGACGTACTTTAATAAATGGATCGCTGAAACCTGAAAAACAATGTTGTGTGAAAATTCTGGTTTATACACACAGATTTATATATTAAATTCTTATATTTAAATACCATTAGTGTCCATTGCTTTAATTCCATTTGCATTTAGTACATCTACTTTGAGAACATTGTTGATAAATATTAATTTTACAGTTAATACTCCTTCATTAGCCTCTTCCATCTCTTTTTGTTTTTGAAGTCTTTCTAAATAGTATTCATGTATAAGATCTACAGTATCCAATGTATGTAAATGCATTAGTGCTTCAAGCTTTTGAATTGTTTCACTTTTATATTCAGTATTGTTATCTTTTTGCAAAAATCCAAACAACATATGAAAACTATCTCTTAGATTCCTAAAATATGTAGGTGGTTTCTTTTTCTATCAAAATATGTAAATGATAAACAATTAATATTATTATTTGCACCATTAGACATATAAATTGCTTACCTCTAAATTATGCTGTATAAGATTATACATTATTGTTGCTATTTGATCAACTATAATGTCAAGTATACGTTGAAAATTTTCTTCGTTAAGTTCCTTACTTAACGTACAAAGATTTTCATCCAAATATGACATTAAATTTTCTAAATGACTATTGTTTGTGTTAATAACTTCTGCTCCTTCCATCAAAAATTTACTTATTTGTGGGGACATCTAAAAAAAAGAAAATATTTTTTTACTAGAACATGACTTAAAAAAGTTGATTATTCTCTTTTCTAAAATTTTCAATTTAAACATACTTTGTTCACAACAGTCTGTAAAAGGTCTATTATCTTGTTGTTTACTGTATCAATTGCATTATCAACAACTAAATCCAATGTTTTTTTGCAATGATCTGCTGAATTTTCACTCTTATAATTTGCCAAACTCTCCATCAATTGTGTTAGACCCAAATCATTGACGAATGGACGTATGGATTGTTTTACATAATCTATATTGTTCACAGCTAGGCACCACTATAAATTATTGAATGCGTAAGAAAAGTGATATTCATTATTAATTTAAGATAAAGGAAAAAATATAAGTTAGTAAGTTAGGTCCAGTTGGGCCTAACTTACTAACTTATAGTCTGCCTAACATACATTGTTCAAAGATGGACAAGCTTATGGAAAACATTAACTGGATTGAGTTAGTTCATAAACTAATAGTTAGCAAACAATACCTTCATTAAATAAATAAGTTTAAAATTAATGCGGAAAAAAGTTTTAACTTAACTCGGTTAAAATTAAGTTAATTTTTAATAAAGTACTGCAGAGTCACTTACAGTAATGATTGTACACTTTTTAATTTTTTTTAATAATAGCTAAATATTATGGTAAAATCGCTTCCTACCATTTATTCTTATTTCTTTCTTATTGAACTAGCTGTTTTAGTAAGTTGCCAGTTACATGCTTGTGTTAACAGAATTATTAAACCAAGATATATTTATATGTTTACTTGTATATAAAATTGTTATAAAAAACAGAGAAAAGAAAATTAAATGATTAGTTTAATCTAAAGGCTGTTGAAAGTGGGTATTTATTTCATAGTATTTTTCGTGCATTTAAATCAATAATCAGGAGAGAAAAATTTACTTCCAGAAGTTCAACTATAATTTTAAAAGAATGTTTGAATTCCTTATTCTTTTTTCTAGTTAATGTTGGGAATGGATTTTCGGTTGTTTCTTTTAATAACACTAGATAAGTGAATTTTGAAAAAAAAAAATTAATTTGGTACATAATCTAGAAAAGAGAGTAAAGAATTCAATTATGTTTTTAAAATTAAAATAAGGTTTTTGATACTGGGTGAGTTTTTCTTCCACTTTTTGGGACTTTATTGTTGAAACTTCTTTGATCACAAAACATAGTGATGTGTGACGACTGCGCATTTGATTTGTACATTACGATTTCCAAGAATCTTAGCTGTAGTTTATCTTAAATTTCATTAAGCATTCGGGGAATTCACTCACACTTATGATCAGCTTTCAATAGCCTTAAGGTACAATTGTATAGCCTATGGGCATAAGTAAATATGATTTTAACTAACCGTATGATATGGTTGCTCTAACTAATTTAGTTAGTAAGTTAGTTGAAAAATTAACCGACTATAGGTAGGTACCTACTTAAGTTAGGTTAGTTAAAAATTAAATTAACTTTTTAATGCACACCTTTGTGTCAATGCTAAATATATTTTTTTTTTTCTCTATTTAAGTTTTAAATTAATTTATTACTTCTTTGGTGACTTCGAATTTTGTATTGTCAATTACGGTACTGTTAACTTTAAAAGCCGTCTTGTCCGAAAAGTATACTGAACACCTGCAAATGTCATCGATTATCTTTGCCACGAATGAGTAAGATCCTTCGGCGTCAGGCCATGCTAGTTGTTGCCAAAACACTTTTATTTGGTAGAAAATTGCCAATGTGTCCACTGCCGACGAACTGTACTCTACCGATATGTCCACTTTGACTAATTTGTCCAAATCGACAGCTCTTTCGATGCGTTGCATGGCCTTATATGCGGCGATATCCAACCACCTAGCAACACCTTGTTGGAACCATATGTGATACTTGACCAAATGAGTACTCTCCAAGTCTATGTTGCAGTCGTTTTTTCCCAAACTAAAAATATTTCATAAAAAACGTGTTATTTTTATTATTGTCGTGCATCGCGCAAAGAACTGTAAAAAATTACTCGACAAATTTCTGAATCCCCATGTAAAGTTCAAAAAGTGACGTTCCCATTGCAAGCGGGTCGTTGTCAACTTGAAGTCGTCCGTTTTCCTCAAAATTAATTGGCTTCATGTTCATACAAATGCGAGTGATGAATGGTTCACACATTTCAGATATTTTACATTCGTATATTGAAAATAGTGTACTGGCATACGGAAATTGCATTTTCCTTTAAATTAATAAATTTTATTGATGTAAAATATTTTTTTTATACTATTTAATTAATATTGAACATTATTAGGTTATTTTACTTAATAAACAGCTTATTATGAAACTCTACAGCTCTCTGCAAATCTAGTTTCAGAAGTTGAATTATTTTAAGTTGAAGTTTCATCTGTCCTTCATCCGTAAAATC